GGCCCTCTCATTGTGAGTTGAGTTGGCCCTCCCCTGTATCTCGAGAGACTGAATATTTCTACTTCTATCTTTCTCAGTCTAAGTCTAGTCTATTGGTTACGAGAGGAAGGCGGCAGGCGGGATTGCAACCCGTAGGATCGCATCAAGACTCTGTGGGGAGTCAGCCCACCGATTGCGGGAGCTCTGCCGGAACCTAGGCGAGGTTCTGGAGGCAGGGAACCACCAGGTAACTTCTTTTTATCTGTATACCCCCACTACACCCATACTTGCATATCCCCTTATGGTTTGATTGATGTATGCATGCATGTCCCTATGGTTTCTGTTTTCTATTCAGGACGTAACCAGACCAAGTAAAAGAACGCATGTATAAAGTTAAGTTTCAACTTCTTTGATTGTTTGAAAGCAGATTGTGGGATTGCATCTGGGGGAAGGGTGGGAGAAAGACAGTATTGCAAGTTTGACTGGGTCWACCAAAGGTTGGGCYAGTTCCATAAGTTAGGGAAGGCCCAGTGCTGTGTTTTATTTTGTATTGCCTGGAGAACCAGACAAATCCATAAGTTTGGGTGGTCTGGTTGCTCTGACTTGTGAGGGCTGAATGTGATTGCTTCTTCAGACGCCAGTCAAATCCATAAGTTTGGGTAGTCTGGCGACCTTGTTTATTTGGGGTTTTTGACAGTTTCTTTGGTTTCTGAGCGAGGAGGTGATCATGTCCCATAAGTTTGGGTGGCTCTACCTCTTCCTGCTTTGGTCTAAGAGAAATAAACCAGGATGAGGACCAAGACATGTTCCATAAGTTTGGGTGGTCTTGGTCCAACGCCTCGCACATGCTGGAACCGGAAGGCTATAACTTTGATATACTTTACTATTATACTATCTATGAACAGGCTAGTCAGGCAGGGTTCCATAAGCTTGGGTGGCCTGACTATAGCTTATCACCAACTKAAGAGAATACTTAACCAAGAGTTAACTTGTGGTACGAAGGGGCAGGCTGAGTCTTGAGYTGAAGATGATCGGCTCAGTTATATGCTACCTCAAAAGACCAAGTGCAGACAATTATATAAATTTTGGATACTTAAACCGTTCAGGGTGACTAGGATGGCCTAGTCATATGCCCAACGAAGAGAAAAGTTGTTGTGTCATGTGTTTGTGTATACTTCATGGCTCGGCTAGACATGTTCCATAAGTTTGGGTGGTCTAGCCTTATGCCCTATGTAAGCTGGGTATAAGGGATAAATCATCGAGAGACTATGAACTATTGTTTGCTAAGGTAACTTGGGGATGGTGAGAGAGTGCATGTYTGTGGTTTGGTCTGCATGTGACTGAGTGATGCCACTTCTTAGTCTGGGTTTGAGTTTGATAGGTAGTTGCTGTAGTTGCTCGCCACGTGCTAGAGCCATAGGAGTTATAGTCAATTCCTGCATTTTCTGGACTCGTTTTTTTTTACTTAGATCAATTTCTGCATTTTCTAGGATCTTTTGATTCGTACTTGGTCTTGTATAAATCTTGGTAAGCCACTTCCTCTACGGGAAGCGCTGCCGAAATTTCTACAAAATCAAGGAGTTAGTCAAAACTTTGACTCTTTCAGGATCCGGTCTTGATGACTTCTTTGACTTAGTAAGAATCTGGGGAGCYTCCTTTTCTAAAGGAGGTGCTGCCCAAATTTTTACTAATTCAAGGAGTTAGCCAAAATTGGGCCCTGAAGGGTCAAAGTCATTGTCAGGTCCCAAACTTGGCCTTGTATAAWTCTTGGACTAGCACTTTCCCTACRGGAAGCGCTGTCGAAATTTCTACAAAGCTAAGAAGTTGGTTGAGATTTTGTCGTGACAGGACTGAGACTGTATGTCTAAGTTCAAGTGTAACTTAGTATAGATCTGGGGGGGGCTTCCCCTCTGAAGGAAAATGCTACCCAAATTTTTGCTAGGTCAGGGAGTTAGACAAATTTTAACTTATGGGATCCAAAGGTTGACTTTTTGGACTAGTATATTTTTTTGCGATGGCACTTTTCCTACGGGAAGCGCTGCCGAAATTTTCCTAAATTAGAGGAGTTAGCTTGTATATCAACYGGTGGCGACGTACGTAGGAGAAACTATGTCATAGGCTACCTTTGCTTGGGCGCTGGCTAGAGATACAGCTTAGACCTAGTTAAGTGTGCTGACTWGGGTAAGATCGTGATATGGAGGTTATCCTCCATGAGCTCATAGACTTAGCTTGAGATTGGCYTGTCTTGTGTTACAGGTCTCCTTGATCGATTGATTCAGGACTTGGGGCTAGATTCAGCTTTGATCCTGCAAGGATCACCTTCTGTTATCACAGATAACAGGTCGGTTGCCGACTCGTCGRTTTACRACTCAACCTCRAMCCACTCKCCTTACTCAACCTAAAGAGGCTTCAACCYTGGTGATYTTTTCTGTTTTGTTAAGGTTTCACCCGGACTTTTATTGAATGGCCATTTAACAAAGGTAYTGAGTATTTACCTAAGGTTGGTTGGCTGGAGGTTGGGGCTTGCATGGCTGAGGCGAAGGGTATGAGCATGGAGATTGGTTGGAGTTGACTTTGTGTAGTGTATGGGCTTCTGYTTGACTCTTTGATGTGATTGCAGGTATGTTATGTGACTTGGATTATTGGATTGGACTGCCCTGCGATTCTATATATGTGCATGAGRAGACCCACTGTGATTGTGAGATGTGATCGTCACACGTTTATTCCCATATGTGTATATATGTGTGTATAAGTGTATGTATGCGTACCCATGTAGGGTACTTGTGTGGCCCGAAGGGTCCGCGTGCTAAGGACCTAATCCAGGGTTGACATGAATAGAAGGGAGGGGATGACCCCTCTAATTATATATACGCTTCTGAAGAAATTGTGGTCGGACGTTAGCCCTGAGCCTAGAATACGATGGTCCTCGCCCAGGACGACCCAGGTCCTAGGGTTAGCTCTGAAAGGGTTCACTTCCGATAAAAGTCGAAGGTACTTTCCTTGTTGGGATTTATTTTGGTGGAATCGGGCGGAAAGGTCAGCGTGTCGCAGGTGATGCGCCAGACAACTCACCATCGCTCCAAATCCCTTCCTGCCCTAGGGACCGTCTTACCCCGCACACTTTGGGACACCTCATGGTGCAGAAGGCGGTAAAGCCCTCAGGCCGGTTTTGCACCGCTAAAGGGTTACCTCCCCGTAGCGCGCACTTCAGCCGACGCCTGAGCGTCGGAAATGACCCCATGGCTCAGAATAGGCCATTTGGGTATGGGCACCACATAATGCGTCGTCATCACAGTTACTCACGTAGCGCTGCATAGTGAAGTGGTATGCATGGATCCTACGTTCGAGCGATCTTATACTAAACCTCGCGTAGGGCAGTTACCGACTTCCACTGCGTAAAGTTATGGGTTGGGTACAAAGGGACTAGGAGTGTGTGTCGTGTTGTACGTCCTGTGTGTCGCTCAGTACTTGTGTGCGTGTGTGCGTGTGCTTTACTTTTGTGTACCTTATAGTGGTGTGTGCGTGGCGCGTGGGATACGTCCTAGTCGACCGGCGACGGGCCGCGCTTGGGACCTCAGCCCCCCAAGAGGTCGGTTCGCGGTCGGGTCCGATAGAGGCGTAGTACGCGTACCCCTTATGCTTCAGCGAACGAGAAACGCCCTCGGCTGGTCCACCTCTACGATTGCAGTTGATCAGCTTTCGTACTGTGGACTGGTAGCTCGGCGGGGATACGCCCACCGAAGGTAGGTGACAACTCTCGTAAGGTGGAGGTAGTCGTGCCTCGCGTAGGCCCTATCCTGTCGTAGGGGCTCGCGAGAGGTATGGCTGGCGCACCCGGCCGGAGCGGCTTACGGAAGCTCCATATATGTATCGCAAAGCGGACGTGTGTTTCGGCTCCTGCGTGACGCGGTCGGGAGGGCCCCGCGCTACCTATGAGTGGTGCCGGACCGATGCGCTCGACACCGGGCTGCTCGGGAAAACAGGGTAATCCGGGTGGCCCAGCTGGTAACTTAGCTATATTGTGTAAAAAAAAAAAAAAAAAAAGTCCGGACTATCCCCTTTCCATTAACCGCCCCGCATGCCCCCCCCCCAAAAAAAAAACAAAAAGAAAGTGACTATTGTGGATAGCAAACAGCCTTACAACCCCTGAAATATGTGAACAATTGAATCCCAATGTCCACTCTATTGAACCCCCAAACTAGCCCTAAGAAGTTTAAAATCGCATTATGGGCTACAGATTCAACAACGCTTGTTCATATGTCAGAAAGAAATCTGAATTTGGTCGTTTAAGCAAATTATGCTGCTCAAGCTACTGCTGAGAATGTAGCGTGTGCTGCTATTCCATTAGGAATTAAGTCAGTTGAAGTGAGAATCAAAGGTTTGAGTTATTGAAAGCCTTCGGCCTTACGTGGTTTACAATTAGGAGGTCGTATTATAACCAAGATTAACGATGTAACAGGTCTTATTACAACCAAGATTAACGATGTAACAGGTCTTATTATAACCAAGATTAACGATGTAACTCCAACGCCACATATTGGATGTTGTCCTCCTAAGAAATGCCCCGTATAGTGTCATATCATCGCTTCTGATGATTGGATTGGCAAAGGCACGAACGAAGAAAGTGCTGGCAAACCTCTGCCGCATTTGTTTTTACAAAATTGGTGACTTGGGTACACAGAACCATTCCTACCTGAAGTAGACCTGATGATATCCCAGCGACGTGCATCATCTTAGTCTTCTTCTGGGCCCTGTGTTTGGAACTCTAGACTGAAACTTACGAGATGTATGTCGAGTATGACGACTAACGGGGATCAGAATCTGTGTACCGCTCTGGCACATCGGCACAGCCTTCTCTTGTGCTACCTTTTACCTTTGTTAACTCTGCTGACTTGTTGGTGGGGGGGGGGGGGGGGGGGGGGGAGAGGGGGCCACTGGTTCTGTGTTCATGTTTACGAAGCACATATGCATTTCTTTTATGAAGTTTTATTGTTCAACGGTCAATGGCTCCATGGCTGCAGGTTTGGACTTGGACGATCCAATCGAGCAGGAGAGATTGGAAGCAGCAAAGCTGAAGGTTGGCCGAAGACTGCTCCTGTGCACCAGTCCCTTTCTTTTCCCCTCTTCCATTCTTTGCTCCTTTCCTCTTTTTCTTTTCGAAGTTTGAACGTTGAACTTTGAACTTGTTTAAGCTCATAAAAAAAAAAAAAAAAGCTCATATTCAGATATGATATTCTAGATTGAGCAGGAGCAAATGGAGGAAGCAGCACAGCACTTCTTCCACCTTCATCCTTGTCTTTAGAGTCTAGACTCTTTCGATTCCTTTGTCACCTTCGCTTTTTGCTTGAACTTCTGGCTTGATCTTTAATGAGCAAAAGAAGTTTGGGAAAATCCGCTTCCCATAGGAGCCGTTAATCAGGCTGTGCAATTGCTTCTCCACAGCATGCAATGCTGTCCACATGCACATTTGACTGCCCTCTTCCTCCAAGCACAATACATCCTCATCACGACTGTATTGGACCAGTAAGATAGGTTGGATACATGCATGATGAGGGGTGATTGTGTTGGGGAGAAGATGGTAGCAGTGACCACTGAATTTGTCGCCAGAAGATAATTCTGCATAGATCCCTGGCAGTAGGACGCAGGCAGTGGAGGGACCGGATTTGGGGTCAACTCAGTACCTCCGCCCCTTGGCCCTGGGATTGGAGGGCACTGCTATGTGAAACCTGGCACCCTGAAGCGACCAGCGACTTCACTGAAAATCTGTTCAAGGTAGTGCGAAAGGCAGTCTTCTGGGCCATCTGGTGGAGGCGCTGTACCGTCGAGATGGAGGGAAGGTGCCTGGAGGCCCGGAGTACACAGAAGCCATCAAACATTGACAAACAACACATTCAAGTGGACATTATAACACAATGAGACAGAGTGAAGGACCATTTAACTTTCTTACATTCCAAAGAAGAAATCAAAGCAATAATCCAAAGGTTCAGCAAAAACTGGCTCGGCGAGGAACAAGGAGGCCCGACCAGATGGGTGGAATGGAAAAGGGACGAGGACGGGGACGACGACTAGGGGAACCTGGCCAGGAACTACCATCTGGTTTTCCACGATTGGACATACTTCAACCCATCAGTCCCGCTGAGACCTCTATCCGAATTCTCAGAACTGTTCTTCCCTCCCCTCCCCCTCCTCCTCCCCCCTCCTCCTCCCGCCTTCTCTAGTAGAGCAAAAATGGGCAGGGGGCGACTAAGAGCTCAGATGTATCGACTAGGGGAGTTAAATGCAGTGTCTAGGAAATGCCTGCGTGGAGGGGCAAGAGGGAGCTAGCCGGGGTTGAGTGGAATGGGCAGATGGGGCAGATGGGGCAGATGGGTGGGGCTAGATGGACCTGGGCGGAGGGATAGAAAGGATAGTGGCTCCAGGGCGGTGCGGGGATGGGCAGGATAGAGCGGGGGAACGGGGAATCGATCCCCTTTGAATGGTAGAACTACAAGAGAGTCAGGTGCCCGTATAGAGGGTGAAGAGGCAATCCACTCAGTCAATCCCTGGGGCCAACCTGGGCGATCAATGCTGGTGGAAAGTTGGAAACATGAATCTATACCCAGTACCCGTTTTCCAGCAGCTCCCCACCAATAGACGGAGTAGACAACGGCTCCTACTAGGGAGGGTTGCTCATATCACCCCCCTAATAGAAAAAAAAAAGGATGCCAGAGACTGCGATGTTCTTGCAGTTCTCAGCGGGTTGTAACACTAAACTTTTTGTTTTTTTTGTTTAAACCCAGGACATGGCTGCTAGCAGAAGTGATACGAGCAGCTTCCGCTGGTAGCTTGCCTGTTGGTGGGGAGCTGCCCTGCTGGAAAACGGGTTCAGCGTCCCAGGTACAAACATGAAAGAAGAGTTGAAAATCTGAGACTGAGCACGCATTGTGAACTTTGTCTACTGTCTGCCTCTTCAGTCGCCTCAGAGGCCACCGCATAATTGATCTGTCCACCAAGCAGGCAGTATCCTGTGGGGATTCACTCCCTGGCGTACCATTGCAGATCCACCATGCTTAAAGCACCAGTACAGCACACACTGGCCCGCGGGTGTCAGCACGAAACCCGCACCACGTCGGAGGCCGCCGATTTTGTTTTTCAACGGCGCCCCACGCCGCGCGGCCCCTCCGAGTTTTGCTTGTGGCGACAAAAACTTTCTGCAAGGCTGGGGCCGTGTACTTGCGGTTTAAAGGCAGGGGAGGGGGAAGAGATCTGGGAATTCTGAGGCAGGTTGGAGAGGGATTGATGGGTCAATCTGTGTCAATTTGTGAAATGAGAGATTATAGTTCCTGGCCATGTTCCCCTGGTCGTCCCCTTGTTGCCCCTCCCATACCACCTGTCCTAACCAAACCCCTTTGTCCCCGCCAATTCCTGTTGAATTGTTGGATAAGTGATCGGATTTCTTTGTTAGAATGCAGGAGGTCCAATGTGGTCTTCAGTTCCTCCCAGAGAGTGGTGATGTCTGTTTGGATGTGTTGTTTTATGGTGTCCATGCATCGTGGGCATTCGAGCTGTACTCCTTTCATCTCTTTTTTTATATATATATATATCGTCACAAACAGAACTGCCCGGTAAACCGTAGGCAGAGAGAGAGAAGTGGACAACAAACGAGGGGCTGTGACAAACTGTTTCGTCGGAGTTTCACCGACTCATCAGGAGGCTGAACCCTCAACAGTCTGCAGAATCCCCTCACTGATTACACTGTAAATGATAATCTACCTTAACCAAAATCAAAGTAGACTATCACTCACCCACACCAGATGGAAAACTCTACAGACTGTCGGTTCACACCCCATCACAAGCCAGCAAAACATCCACGAAACAAAGAAAGGTTTGTCACAGCCAAAAAATACACTCCAGACACGCCGCTGGCACTAGAGGCACAGCATGGCCGCCTAGTAACGGCCCCGACCACTGCCGCTCGACCTGACCGGAAAAAACCGTAGCCGGAAGCTAGCGAAGTCGTAGTATATATCGTCACAAACAGAACTGTACACACCCCCTGCAGTGTTAGTGGTACTGATAAGAGCAGACACCACTAGCACCCGGGCCGGGAGGAGGCTCCATCTATTGGTGGGGAGCGTCACCTGCTGGAAAATGGGTCCAGCGTCCCATATACAACATGAATACCGAGTGAAAGAGGATAGTGTAAGAGAAGTTTGACTGAGGGGCCTGCCAGCATTGATTACTCTGGTATCCAGAGGATTAACTGTGCAGGTTTTGAGAAAAATATAAGAGTAGTTTGACCGAGGGACCTGCCAGCATTGATTACTCAGGTGTCCAGAGGATTAACTGTGCAGGATTTTGAGAGAAGGGAGAGAACCTCTTCGCCCTTACCCCAGGCGCCAGCTTTCCGCCTCTTTTTTTAGTTCCTCCCTCCCCTTATCCTTAAACAGAAGAATGACTGAAAAAACCTGCCAGCATTGATTGCTCTGGATTCCAGAGGATTAACTGAGCAGGTTGTGGAAGGTTCCACCCACCCTGTCTATCCTTCTTTCTTAACCCTGCTGTCCTTAGCCTGTAGGCGCCATGGGGCCACTGGGGGGCACCAGTGGAGCCCTGCGTCTCCCTTCCCCTTCCTCTCCCAGACTGCCTTATCCCGTGGACGTAGCCCCTGCCTGACGCCCCTTCCTAAGGGTGTAAGTGGAATTTCACAAAACTGCCAGCTTGAGGGAGTGGTGCTGCTGTCACTTGATTACAGATCCCTGTTCTGCCATCATGCCGACTACGACTGGGTGTTACAACATTCGTATTTCCAGGGACTGTGGGTGGGAAGGGAACGGACCCGGAAAATCCTCTGCTGGTCTCAGGGGGACATTAGGGGCAATAGACATCCAGCCTTTAAATCTTAATCTATAATCCCGTGGTACTGCCCCCCTTCCTTGTCCTTCCTCCCCTTCCTCACTTCCATTCCAGTCCCCTGACCAACATACCTCTGCTATCCACCCCTCTCGATCCCCTCCCAGCCATTCCTTAGAAAACTGCACTAGCCTCTCTGCGATGTCCTTTGGCCTATGGAGGATATCTAGCGCGAGTTTGACTGATTCCCATTTGTTCATAAGTTCCATTTGAATGTGCTGTTTAAATTGTTCCGTCCTCTCCTCTCCTTCCACACGAACTTGGTCTAAAACTAAAGCACAACGTTGCCACCATAGAACCCATAGGACCTTTTTTCGGCCCAGATGGAACATGTTCCAGGCAAAAACGTCCCCATGGAGAAGCGGGGAGTGGCCCATGAGGATGGCTCGCCACTCCCACGGCCACCGATGGTCCGGAACTATTTGCTGTCATATCCTATCCCACCATCTCCAGGTAAGGACTGCTGTTGGGCATTGCAGAAAGATGTGTTCGATTGTTTCAGCTCTCTTCCTTACTGGAAAGCCCGACAAGCATCGCGGGCACCAAGGGAGGGCACGGCCCTGTTGTTCCAGGTGCGAGTGATCGATCAACCAATCATTTGTTGGTAGACACCAATGTAGGATTTGCCATTGCAGGGACGTAATTTTGGCAGGCCAGCACTTCGTGTCACAGAACCATTGGATTGGTGCAGTGCTCGCAATCTTTGTGTATGTTGTGAACTGGATCCGACCCAAATCTGGTTTGCAAAAAAAACTTCAACTGTACCCAGCCCCAACTGCAAAAAAAAATTATGGCCAGCTGTCCAAACTGGATAGTGGGTTTTTGCAGATTTTCCAAACTGCACCTAGCCCGGCCAGCAACATGAGAAAATGCCGAACTGCACCCAGCCGGACCAGGATCCAACATCACGTCATTCTGCCGCCCAGACCCACCGTGAACTGCCATGGGCCGACTTTTTCCTTTTTAAATATGAAACATCAATATGACTTTTTTTTTTTTTTTTCTACCATTGGCTCCCCCATTGATTTTTTGTTTTTCAAGTAACTCAAACATCATTGAGGAAGGCATTCATCATAGAAGTGAGCACTCCGGGATAGTGGTCTTACCCATGAATGTTTTCATATTATAAAAAAAAAAATTGTAGATTTTCCAACTTCACCCAACTTCACCCATGTCCACTGTCAG